ACTTTCTGGAAATTGGTGTTAATCATAGTGGCCGGTTATTAACTATATTAAGAAAAGGCAATCGGATTTTTTTTCTTGAGGCTTTGACCTGAGGGGTAAATTTTCTCTTGTTTCTCTTTAGACAATCGTGTTATTTTTATAATTATGTTAACGTTAATGGTTTAAAGTTGTAAATAACTTTCTAATTTCGTTAATTTTGTTAATTTCGTTAATTTCGTCAATTGTTAATTTCGTCAATTTCGTCAATTTCGTCAATTTTGTTAATTTTGTTAATTTCGTCAATTTCGTTAATTTTGTTAATTTCGTTAATTTCGTTAATTTCGTTAATTTCGTTTTATTTTATCATCATTATTTATTTTTAAAAAAAGATATCAAATGTCTAATTTAACGAATTTAGATGGATCATGTGGTGCAAATTCCACTTGTAATAGTCTCAACCCAGGCTGTTATCTTTTGCAAACAGGCCCTGTTTGTTCCGATGCATCAGATAATACTAATGCATCTGCATGGAGATTAAATCCAAGCGTATTTCCACCCATTGAATATTTAGGCAACATGGTAGGAGGTGTAAGAAATAGACGGAGATGCGAGGTTTTTGATTATTCCTCTTGGTCACAGGATAACAAAACTTGGTTGTTGGAATATTTGCGTTATCATTGGGTACCTAATAATTCTAGTTCTTATTCATCATCCAACAATAACACTTTACCACCTGGTTCTTTTATCAATCCATTAGATTACATAGGTTCTTGTGTGAATTCATCCTTTTGTTCAGGTGGAATGTGTATACCAAAATTTCAACCTCAGGCAAATTGTAATTCTTCAATTCAATGTACTTCCTTTGCATGCGGAGACTTGACGATTGTTAATACCGCTAATGCTGAATCAAATACGTCATTCAGTTGTATTGATAATTCATCAATACTTTTGCAATTAACAGTAAATTATGCTCGACCTTGGAATGTGAATTCACCAAACTTGCAAAATCAACCACCACAACGTGATAAAACGCCAACCTATTCAAGCCAGGCCGTTGCTGTGATTGTCGTGATAATTATCATATTCTCTTTAATATCCGTTGGTTGTTGTATTAGAAAATTCAATTCTACACTTAGACCAACAGATTTTAATAGAAGTAGTAGAGATAGTAGAAATGTTGGTGGAAATGTTGGTGGAAGAGTTCGTAGAACTGCTTCCATTTTAGTTGGAGGTGGTGGAGGATTGACTAGAGAAAATAGTGTAAGAAAAAAAATCCGATTGCCTTTTCTTAATATAGTTAATAACCGGCCACTATGATTAACACCAATTTCCAGAAAGT